AACGTTAAGAAATTATGAATGATTTCAAAATTTATTTTGGGTTATTCAAATGACATGTACAGTTTTTTTAAAAATAGTATCGTGAAAATATGTGCAGTGACAAGTTTTACATAGAAAAACTAAAACCATGTCCACTTTTTATTGCATTTTTTAATTGGTTATCCAAAGCCAGTCCCCCCAGAGAAAAAGAATTGGACGCACCCTTTGGTTGGAAGAATCTATTTCCCTGTGAATTGAAAGGATCAAACACTTTTTTCTCTGAAACTACAGTTATTTTTTGTTATTATAGACTGACATGCACTTTTTTGGAATAATTTAATAAGGTAGTAATGAATTGAATGCTTGTGCTTTAAGTATTATCATTATTGCTCAACTGGCTATGAATAACAAAGCTGAAGATGGAGATAAAGAGTACAAGGAAAAATCAAGAGAAGGCCTTATCTACTGCATATACATGAACTTATAAAACTGAAAAGTGACTATTAATAGAAATGCTAGAAAAGAATTTAAGCGCTACCAGAAAGCATTTATGTGAAAATTGTAGACTGCTTTCATATGCTAAGTTACATGAAAAATGTTTGTAAAATACTTGAGGATATTTTTTAAAAAATTCTAAAACATATAAAATACTTTCACTTCAAGAGTTTTTGAATATTTTGAAATTTTTTTTCTGTTCCTTTGAATTATTCAAGATTAACAGAAAAAAATATTATTTCTTTTATTTCTTACCATACTAAATTTTCAGGAGTATTCTAGGGGACTTGCCAAAAATTTTTTTAAAAAAATAAGGTAAACTGAATTTCTTAAGAATCAGATTTTGCTGTACAAAAAATAAACCTAAGTCATAATTCAGAAATACATCTAAATTTTTAGTGCTCAAAACCATTAAAAATAATTGTGTCCAATATTATATGCGACAGTCTAATATTATATACTAATATCAGGCATTTGCAATATTAATTAAATAATTGTGTCTAATATGAGATAGGGTTTAATTTTTTTAAATATTTTATTTCCAAATTTTAAACCAATAAATATAAAAAAACATTAATTACAATTTTCAATAACTTAATTATAACAGTAAAAGTCTGATCCCTCAATATTCAAGCCATGCAGTTGGTTTTGAGTCTGAACATACATGGCTGGTAGTAGCAACTGATAGGCAGTCTTACTTGACTACAATGCAGTTATATTTTAAAGTTATGGTCTTGGACTACATGTGAAAGAATATTTTTTCACTGAGAAAAAAATTTCAATGATGTTTTGATTTTTTCAAAAGTTAAGTTTCATCAATGCATTAAACAAAAATTATAAACAATATAAAAATATACTGTGTACAATAGAAATGACATACTGATGTTAATAATATGCATGCTGTCCCCGTGGCAGAATTGCAGCGACACTGTCACAAAAAGATTTTTCTTATGAATTGTAAGAAACATTAGTTTTCTTTTCAATAGAAATTTATGCATAAAAATCGAATCACACATTTTAGATAATCACTTTTTGGCACGCTCAATTCACGCTGATAGCATAGTAAATCAATGGAATGTTTCCGATTGTATTTTCGGCAATTATTGATATTGATTTTCACATGTTTTCAAATATCCTGATGTATTTCAAACAATATGAAAAGTTTGAATGGTGTATTTGAGTATTTACTTTTTAAGGCAATGATTCTATCGATTTTTTGGCAGTTATTACTATTGCTTTCACCATAGTTTTCAAATCCGATATTTTTATACGATATTATTTATTAAAACAACCTAATATCGAAACGAAACATGCAATTTAGTAACTCCTTTTTAAGGAGTCTGATTCGCCTGATTTCGTCGTCAATCTTCTTTTCAGCGATTATTACTATGAATGACATTATATATTTATTGTGATGATTAGTCACGAAATGTTTAGAATTAAATAATTTATGTGGTCCCCTATCAACAAAATTTGAGAATATCACCCATAATATTAGAATGAAAAATTACTACATGTTCAATTTAAAAAAAATTATACATATATATTCGTAAACACAGTGATTTTGTTATTTTAAATTAGTTACATATATGTTTGTTATTATTAAAAGTATCTTGTAGAAACATATTAGTGCTAGAGAGTTTTGTTGCAAATAGCTCGAAAAAATTCTGCATCCTGTTAAATCATTTGAATGTTTATAGTAAATACCATTTAGAGTTTGTGAAAGCTTATTCATTATTTCATCTGGGTAAAAAAGGCTGTAGTTTCTCATTTATAAAAGTATACTTTCAGTTTCTTAATTCAGTTTCTCAGTTTCGCATTTCAGAATTACGTAAGAATAAAAACTTTTTTTGGAAATTTTAATACTATGTTGATCCTCTAATAAGAACTATGTATACACTCATTCTACTCTCAATTAGCATATAATTTTCTGCTAAAGGAAATAATTAAGACACTTCCATCAAAAAAAATTTACTTAAATTATGTTTCATTTATCTTTACAGGGTATCTGCCACATTTCAGATTTTTGAATTTAAGACTTTCCATGACTAATTCTAAAAACTTTTCATGACTTAACAAAGTTACTATTTTCTCCGACAAAAACACAACAATAACTTTAAAAAGTCATTAAAATAACATTAATTGAAATGATAGGTATAATCAAAACCGTTATACTCTGCATCTTCATATTTAGAGATTTTAAATTTACAAAACAGAGTAAAGGAAGAGTTGAAGCAATAAAATAGCTGAAAAAAATAGAAAAGCAAATAATTTTTATTTCTTTTTTTCTGCAGAATTATATTCTAAAGAAACTTTTCTTATTCATTGGGAAAGGAAAGAAATACTCCTGATTTCCTTTCTCATTTCAGAATAAAAAAAATTGCTTCAGCTAGAATTTGAAATGGATGAAATAGAAATAAATAATAACAAAAATTCTGAAATCACAGAAGTTTAAAAGATAATTTGCTCTAGAAATGACGTTTTTTCTTTCATTTTTTTGAAAAAACACCATAATTTTTAAAGAACATGATAAGAACATTTAAAAATTAGATTTTTCAGCGACCCAAATGACCTTCTTTAGAAAAAAAAGTAGTTAAAATCATGACATTTCATGACTTTTTGTTCAATACCAAAATTCATGACTTTCCATGATTTCTCATGACTTTCCAGGTGCGCAGATACCCTGTCTTAATCATAAAAAGGAAACCAGTTTCAAAAATCACATAGATAAAATCAAACTTTGCATAAATTAAATTAATCAGACTTATTGTTAATTTATAATCAAGCATATCAGAAAAATATTAGACCTGATAATAACTTTATAAGAAAAAACGTTAAGTAATTCCACTTATATTTAAGAAATATTGATAGATTTATTAACATTTATGTTAATTCTATTAAAAGGCATGCATAGCTAAAACTTTCGCAAAATTTTTAAATTGATATAGAATTTTTAATATAATGTTACAGTAAAAAAGGGTTAATTTAGTGCTCAGCACAAAGTTAAAATAATATAAAAAGAGCACAAATAATGCCCCTTAAACAGACTTAGGAAAGCAATAAAGATGTAAAACTTGTTGAAATAAAACTTTTCTTTGTGTTTTTTATTGTTTCACGAATTAAATTTTCCAACTTGGCTTTTGAATTTGTTGTTTTTAAAAGTTACATGCAATTTTCTACTGTGGATAGAATCTTAAACTAACAAAAATAATTTTGTCAAAAGTTGTAAACATCTTCTTTTCAAAACAATTTAAACAATAGAAACCCATGTATCATTAAGTACATCAGGGAAAACTGTTATGTAAAAAAAGATCAATTTTTTTATTCTAATACTAAAGATAATTTTTGTACTGTTTCATAGATCTAAATGTTATTATGTAGCTTGCATACTTTCCCATATTTGTTTTTTACTTTTTTAATTTAGAAAACTTTCTAAATGACAATAAACAAATACTTTAATTTGCTGATAAAGGCAACTTGCTTCATAAATGTTAGAGTTATTATTCATATTTATTCTCATAAACACAACTTAAGTACACGTAAAATTTAGAAACAAAAATTCAGAATCAAGTCATGCAATTTTTATTTATTACTATCTTTCCAAAAATATTCCCAAATTGCCTATGGTAATAAAAATAATGACAAATTTAAAATTAATTTTTTTTAAATCTTTTATGCGTAAAAAAGATCTCACTTCAGCTCAAATAGTTCATCAAAGTAATTAAGTTTCAAATAGTACATCAACATTATGCTAAAGACACATTATAACAAGCATATTTTCTAAAAAAACTATCGCAAGTGCATGCATAACATTTTTTCACTATAAAAAATTATTTCATTATATCACAAAATGTTAACCTTAGTTTTGTTATTTGTATTCATAACTATTAACAAGTAACAATTATACAACAAAATTACACACTATCAAATAAGAACAAAATAAGCTCAGAAAGCAGACCTCTTAAAGAGACAAGCAAATAAAAGTTAAAAAATTAAGAAAGAAAGAATTGTGTAAAGCTAGGCTTCAGTGTACACAGGACAAGACCTTTTATAATAGTACAAATCAGTTGACACTATTTGATTAGGTTTGTGTATTGCTATAATGAATATTTACCCTGATATGCTTAGCATAACCAGATCACTTTTCTAATTATTGGAAGACAACACTATTCTATGTACTATAACATTCAAACTACACAACACATCACATGCATTTCATTACAGATATCAGTGCGTAAAAATGTTCATCAATATTTAGAATTAATTATGCATAAAAGTTAATACCTTTTTTTACTTGCAATCAATTTAATTTAAATTTATGAGAATAAAGATACTAAATCATAAAAAATTGAAGTAAGAACATAAAAACTATAACTTATGCAACGAACTTATAAAAATGTATAGCTTTTAAGCAACTAAAATAAATTTTGAGGAAAGTCACATTTTTTAAAGAGAATCAATTAGTAAAGACTAATTCTTATAAAAAAGTTTTGTATGTTCTTTATACATGAATGAAATATTTGAAGATACAGAAATTGAATCAATAACAAATATTTTATCGATAATATTTAATTGAAAACAGATATTTTTTTTTGGATAATATTCAATTATAAGGAAACTCGCATATCAAAATATTCCTCAAATGCTAAAAAAATAATCACCAGGAAATAGTGCAAAGTTTATATAGGAAACTGAACTCAAACTATAGATCCTCTCAACTATACCTATTTTATTTTATTATCTTTTGTCTTACAAGGAATTGGCTACTAATGCAAAAATTGATAAAGATAGATTTTATTCCTTCAGTTTTCCTTTTAAACAAATATTTATTATGTTTTGTGAAATAACTATCTCAACAAAGAAATAAGATAATTAAGCTGGTGAAAAGAAGGTACATATACACACTCTAAATAATGATACTTTCGTTTGCAGTTGTTATTAATCATTAAAACATTTGATAAGAAAATTGTACAGAGCCGCACTGCATTCCATTCTTGAAAAAAGAAATATGCTCTCTTAATTTTATAGACTCAATTAAATGTATTATTACATCATAACACTTTTCATTAAATACACATACCAATTTTTTTTTCACTTAAAGGAAAATACTAGTGGGTACGAAAATTTCACCTAGAGGGTACAAAAGTGTAAAATAAACTGATGGTAATTATTTGAACAATATTTATAATAATTGCGCTTTTAATAATTTGGAAACCTGAAAGCATAATAATTATAAGTAGTACTTGCAATGATATTAATGTTTGATAAAGCCTCATATGTAGGTAACTATAGGCCTAAACAAACTTTTAACTTTTTTTCACACTGATATCCTATAATCAGTGATGGAATATAGTATATATATATATAATTTCTTTATTTAAATGTATCACAACTTAATATGAACATCACAAATACAGCAATGCAATATTTTACTTCATTTTGAAGTAAAAGCTAAAACAAATGAAAAAATAATACTTGGCTTGAAGCCTAACATCCATTTCTTTTTAAAACAAAGAAATATTTAGCTTTGAGAATTTTGGCACAAAACCAGACTGATACCATATTTGTTAACCAAGGGGTTGAGTTTCCCTCATCAACCATTGAAAGGCACTAAGTCTACCCTGTTCCCTCAGGGCTTTCCCAACCACGTCTCGACAGATTTGATGATAGTTATCTAACCAATCCATCTGAAATAAATAAAATAATCATTTTAATCCCTATCCCTAATTTAACATAGCAGTATTTTACTTTATTAAAAATATGTTGCTAATAGAATAATAAACAATAATAGGATAACTTTTTAAATTTAATCTGTGCCTGCGAAAATAATACTTGATAAGTAAAAAATGTTTTAAAAGTAGTAATTTTTATGGTTTGGAACAACCATCTACGATAAATAATGCGTCAAATTACAATACCATGTGATTTTAATGTAAATTAAACAACACAAGAGTTTTATTACCATTTCACAAAAAGAGTTACTCTCATTTTCAAACAAAAGTATTGTTGAAAAATTTATCGTACCCTTTGTAAAGAGATTTATAGACATGCCAACCAGGAAAAATTTTAAAAAAAGGAGGCGGTCGAAAGGAAGAGAGAAATGATCATGCAACAGTGAAACATGCAAAATGAGACACAAAAGTTTTGAAAAAAAAAAAAAAGATTTGTAAATAACAACACTTTGATCTTAAAGGAGTTTTATTTAGTACATAAAGAATAATTAAAGTAACTGTACATATTGTTAAAATTATATATCAAAATTAAACAACTGTCAATATTAATATCTATAATACTGAATAGCAACAGTAAGTAAATTTATTTAGCTAATTCACAAATTGATTCAAGCTAGTGATCTTTTATTAAAAAATAAATAAATAAATAGGCTAAACTATCTGTTATTTTTAAAAAATATAATAAATAAAAGTTTGGGTAACAAAATCAATACCTTTCTTTAAATGGAAAATTAAAAATTTCATTTTTAATAAAAAATATTTTAGATAGATGATTAAAATTTTTAAGAAATTAAAATGTGCAGAAGGCACAATTCAATCCTCTTTCAGAAGCAATAATTCCAAGAAATTCTTCCGAATAAGCTTGGTTGAAGTATTTCTTGTTAACTTTTTTTGCCGCCATTATATATTTCAACAAAAAAAAACTAACAAGACAGAAAAACGCATAAAAACAAACTCAGATTCGATGATGATGATATTTACCTCACTTCACTGTACAACGAAAACGATCCGAAAATAATTTTTCATCGCATAAAGCGAACATTCTTGCTTCCGAAAGAAGCCAATCGTAAAGCAGTATTTACAAAGAGAAGTCCAACTCAGCGCCTGCAGATCCAGAAAGGAAAGGAGAAACCACTCTCTTGATAGGCCAAGAGATTCGAGAAACGTCATAACTCAGGCCACTCTGATCTTTGACGCATTGAGACTGAAAGTGATGAAAACTGCGTTCAGCGTTAAAATAAGTGAAAAAACCGGAGATTTTCGAGAAAACCCCAGAGGAGAAAATAACTTGTAAAATACTGGAATCTCCGGTCAAAAGCCGGAGGGTTGGCACGTTTGGATTTACACAGATTGTGAATGCATTTCTGCATATAGGTGCAATAGACCCTTTTGTGTATCAATATGGAGTAATTTATATTCGCCAACTTTTTAACCACAGATTATAATAACCACTCTTCCTTAGTTCAAAGGAAATTCAAAATGTTTCTATGATTTAATATGAAGAAAATAATGGTTTAAATAATGTCTTTGAAACTTTTGCTGAATGACTCAATTTTGGCAGCTATATAGCATTCTAAAAGGTGTTGATAAAACAGTACTTCAATGGAATAGCCAACAGGACTTTATGTAGAAGTCATTATAAGAGAAATATACTGCATAATGTTAACAGTTTAACCTTATGTGAAATTAAGAATTTCTCTGCTACATACAACTTAAACAGTGAATAAAATAAGAAAAACAGGTTATAAACAGAAGGAAGCCGGGAATTTAAAGTTTGGGAAATGATGGGATTAACACTGAAAGGGTTAAAAATTTCTGTATTACAGATGTTGGTTAAAATAAAAAAATAAAAATATGAGGTGTTCAATAATAACTACTCATAATTTACATTTTTGGAAAATTAAAAGAACAAACTAAGGATAAAATCAATACACAGTAAAGGGCTTAACATAACAAGTATGGCATATTTCAAGCTTCTAAATCCTTGTCAAAATGCTAATAATAAAGATACAAAAATTGAATGCTTTTTAACGAGTAAAAAATTACTAACCTTTCCTTGTTGTAGCATTTTTTTTCAAAGGGAAATACAATTTACTATATTTTTGAATTAAACAATATATGAAAAAGAGCAAGATGGAAGTTAAAGTAAAATGGAACAGCTTTAGTTATTTCTAGCATCAATAAAATACATTTCACTAAATATCCAACTGATCCTAATCATTGCTATTTTTATATTAATTATGTGCATTTGCAAATAATAAGAAGCTCCCTGTAATAACAATTCCATCTGCCATATTGACTTCTTGTTATAAGGGACTTTTGCTTTGTGTTAATAGAAATATATATAAGATGAAAATACAGCGAAAAGAAGGAAATAAATAAAAAAAGGAAAACATTTTAAAAGAAAAATAATTAGAAGATTATATTTTAAGTTTAGAAATAAAACAATGAAAAGATATAATCTTGTCATTAGCTCAAACAATTATATCCACAAAAATAGTGATTTTTAATGTTCTATTAATTAAACTAAAGGAAAATATGTCAATACAATAGAATTAGGAGCACAAAAAAAGAAGAAAGAAAGAAACTTATTCGAAAATAAAACAATATCAAGCAAAAATGATTAAAGAATATTTTTATAACAAAGATGCTAGAGTACAAAATATGAAATTAAATCATGGAGAATGGTTAATGGGATATATTTTAATGGTGTGTTCTTACTAAAGTAGAGAACCACATTTGATTTATCTGTTACCATGAATTGGTTAAAAAACTGGATTTGCACAAGGTAATAATACATTGTACTAGATAATTCAAATTGTATAATAAATAAAAGGTTAAATTTCTAATACATCATTTTAATTTGATGGTTTTTAGAGAAATTATTTATATTTATTGAAAAATATTAAATGACTATAGGAGAAGGTTGTTGGTTAGTTATGAAATTTTTTAAGCCAAATGAAATTGGATTTGCACATGGAAAAAAATATCAATCTAAACAACAAATAGATTTTTATGTACATATATTCATTAATTCATTTTAACACATAATTAACTTAATGATTTTGTACAGAATTTATTTATATTAGTTGGATATCAATTGTTTTCAATTAAATTTAGGAGAAGTAAGTCTTTTTTTTGGATAAATAAATATTACTGAAAATTCTTTTAATTCTATTTATTTAAATAAAAATAGCAACTAAATAATGTTTTTTGAAACATTAGAATTCAATCTAATTTTTTATAATAAACTTATAATTCCTTTTATTATCTGTCAACAATGCAGATATTTTCTTTGTTTTTACTATTTAAAACCAAAAATTTAAAATTAATATTACTGCCATGATTATGAAGCAATATTAATTCCTAGAGGTAAGCATTACTAAACAAAGCTAATTAAGTTTGAAAATTCTATCAAAATTATTTTCGAAAATTCAAAGTTCATTAAATAATCAATATATCTAAAAACATATTTGATATTTAGAGTAAAAATTTTCCATAATAGTTTAAAAGTAAGTTAGACAGAAAAGTGCTAACTTACTTTAATAATGAAAAAAATAATCACTTTTAATCTAATTCAAAGTGATTAAAAATTAGATCCTTGTCGTATTCCATCTATGTAATCCAAAAAATGTTTTACATAGTAAAAATAATTATTACAAAGACATATATTAATTAGAATTTCCCAATAATCAAAATCACAATTAAAGATATTTTAAAACTACAGTAATAACTCAAAAGACATCTTTTAGTTTTGAAAGTGGAATACTATTAAAAGATGTTGAAAATTAAAGGTTGTAATAGATTTAATTTTGGTTTAATTAATAAAATCTAATATAGGTTGATTATTGGAGATAATTCATGAAAAATATTCTTTAATAATATTGTCAATAATTTTATTTAAATATTTTGAGTGCCCAGTATAGTTAAGTATTAGACCTACCAGTGATTTCTTTAAATTAGATATAAATTTTGGACCGATAATTATGTATGGAAATCAGGGGGAGTCAAGCTCTTTCATACAAAAGATGATACAGCCCCTTCTAAAATTACATTCAATATTTGTGTCATTTCATTTACAATTAAAAAAAAGACTTTCCTTGTCTGAATTTATCTCCAATTCAAGCGATATTTCTAATTCAAGTGAGCTTTACTTAAATTGCTAAGCTTGAAATTTTTACTTTTTATTAGTTTCTTATTTAAAAGTTCGTATTAAATTTTTTTACACATGACTGCATAAGTCATGTGCATTAGTTTTGTCTATGAGTGTTATTAGAAAATTCTTTTGAAGTTGCTTAATAACAAGATCAGTTTTAGAAAAATTAGTTGAATTGTTTCAGTTGTGCACAATTCCCTTATTATTTAAAATTTATTCCCTATTATAAAATTTTTAAAGCAATGAAAAACTGCCAATTTTCTATTCTTTAAAAAATTCAGAATCCAAAATAATTTCCTTCTTCCTAAATTTTTGCTAATATCATTACAATTAAAAAAAATTCCATGAAGAGTTTTATTATATTTATAGCTTTTAATTATGTTAAAATACAGTTCATGCTTCAATAATTTTTCTTGCCATAATTTATAAAAGGAAGCAAAATACTAGACCAGGGGAGTTTAAACAGTTTCTTAATTTGAACAAGGAAAACTACCAGGATTAACTTACAGTCCATATCATTAAAATATCTTTTATACAAACTTTGAAGGAATTTTGTTAATGGTAATGCAACAATGGATTATCAAGGTAAATATTCAGCCTCAACGTTTCTTCTATACTGATAGCATATTCTTACAATTAACAAAAAAGAAAAATAATAATAAAAAGGGCTCATTTTTTAAAATTAACCGAGCTTACCTCTTCAACTGTTAAAAGAGATGTATCCAATAACTTTGTTTGAAAAGGAATCAAGGTAAGTGGCTCAAATGTCAAAAAACCACAGTCCTGAAAGTTGTACTAGAAAAAAAAAAAAGTAAAATAAGGTTGGAGTAATACAGTATAATTTTTACTAGATTTAGAAAACTGTATGTACCTTAGTATCAGCTTTTTTCACAAGAATTAAATTTTCAATTTTAATGCCGAATCGTCCACTTTCATAATAACCTGGTTCTAAAATAATACAAATATTCAAAACAGAAAGCATTTATGAGCATTTTAACTTGCAATGATAGTAAATAAGTTGGATCTGAAAACTTTTTATTTAAAATAGTCTCAGAAAAGAATTTTTTTTCATTAAAAAATTGTGAGAGAAGTTTCTATCATCTTTTAATCTATGGCAAAGAACTGACATAAATAAGATAGATTGTACTTTCGTTAAAAAAAAAAAAAAAAAAAAAAAAAAAAAAAAAAAAAAAAAAAAGCCCCACAGTATGTAATAACACTATATATAGGGGTTAATCAGAAAACTAAATCTTTAAGTTTATTTCTTTTTTTAAATTTATACTCAAACACTTGAAAAAACATTTAAATTGAATAATACTGTTAAGGGGTAAAAGAAAACATAAATTTTTGCACTAAAAAATTTTGGGATTTTCTATGAATTTCATACATTAAGAGCATTTCTTTGAAACTAAAATCATCTATATTATTTCTAAAACTATGTAGTTATATTCTTCAATACAAAACATGTCAGAATTTTTTCCAAAATATCTTTAAGAGAAAAAAAAAGACATTCTCATGTTTTACAAAATCTTCTTGTTATTTGTGTTAATAGACTTTCAGAAAAAAACCTATGCTCTAACAATTATAGTGATTTTGAAAGATCTAAATATCTAATATGATGATCTAACTATAATAATTATGATTATCTAAATTTCTAATAAACATTGTACGGATTCAAAATTAAATTAATTTTTCATAGTTAAAAATATAAATGCAATGTGTTTTCACTTTGTTTTAAATATATAAAAACAATATCTATGTTTTCATTGTTAATGTACTTATACTTTTGAAGAGAAAAATTTAAAAAAAATATATATATAATTGTATAATCAGTAATTTCAACAAAAAGTATTTTTCTGTAACTTGTATTTTGCTAGTATATTTCAAATTATTAAACAATCACATTAATTAAAGCTATAAGCAGGAATGGAACATCAGCGCAACAATTTTGAAGCAGATTAGGGCAAATAATTTTTGTATTGAGTAGTACATTACATTTTTGAACATATAAATTTACCTTTTACCATACTTAACATAGCTGGGAAAAAAATGCAATACAAAATAAAAAGAATGTATTATAAATACAAGTAGGAATTATTTAAATAAATCCCAAAGCTCTAATTCCTCACTTCCACTTGTTAAGTATCATTCTAACTCTGGAATTTTTTAATAAGATATTATTACGATATGCATACTCTGAATTTTGACAGCCAAGATTGTCACAAGAATATTATTGTATCTGTACGTTAACAAGACAAACAAAAGCTAAAGTTTCTATAGTAAACGATTTTGATTTATTTGAAAAGCATATTGAACTGATAGACAAATATAACATACTCCCACAAACAGAGTGACAAATGAGCAACGAAAAGTAAGAATATAAAATAATCTACTGCAACAGAAGCTTAAATAATCTTGTTTAACAGATAAGGGATGATGTCATGATCCATGTAAATGACAAACAGCAAATGAAAAGAAACTGGGCGAACCCCGCAAACCATGACGTTACTGACGTGAGTTCAATGCATGAGATTGTCCTCTTAAATAAGATGAACAAAGATCCAAACTATATACTTTTTATATTCATTTTACACTCAATGAAAATAGAAAAACCCTTTTAGCATTTATTTATCTAACATGCAGCCCCCCTTTAGGCTCTCAACTCTTACAAAAAAAAAAAAAAAAAACATATACAGTTATCAAAACTTTAATAAACTAAAAAAAATATTAAAGAAATATTTAATTTCTTTAAACTAACACTTGAGAATTCCCCCTTTGCTAGCCCTTTTCTAATGTAAGGTATGTTCACTATCTTCAGACCACCCAAACAGTGTAGAAAGTGTGTGAAATGGGAGTGTTGTCACTGTTGACGACTTAACTGTACTACTTGAGGGAAAGAAAAATACTTCGTTATGTCAGTCCCAGGGTTTCATTGAAGTATTTGTGACTCCAAGACATCCTTAATAATACATTTACTTGAACTGTGGATTATTTGACAAATATCCTCTAAACAATACAGTGTTCCTTATGTTTTGAATGAGTCATTAAAACAATTGCTACCTTCTTTTAATCCTATTTAAGCAAAGATTAAGTAAGATCTCTCAAATAGTAACTGTTATATTAAGGAATCTATCTCAATTCACTTCAGCTGTAAGAAAGTTTTAAAATACAGAACCTTTTCTAAGGTGGGTAAATATATGTGATGTTATTCTTTTTATATTTTGTATTCACCAGTGAGTGATCAGTAGCTGAGAAAAAGTAACTTGTGCATATTTAATTTCAGTTACTTTTTATCAGAGATGAAAAAAATGCTGCCATTTTATCCCCTATTGATACTTAATCTAACCTTCAGTTATCCAGGTATATGAGATACTTGGTACTCTACTTTAAAACTTTGAATTGAGCAAATTTCTTGATGGAAGAGAATTTTCAATTGCACAATTTCCTCCCCCAAAAGTCTTCCGCTTTTTTAGCATACCAAAAAAAGGTTCAAAGGCACTGTATGCGGTTCAAGTACTTTCAATCTCTACCATCAAGTGAGTATGAGAGCCTGATTGGTGAAAAAAAAATTTCTTGCAAAATACTCACCAATCAGGTTCTCAATTTTTTTAACAATGGTAGGAAGTGCGTGAATGAACCACATGCAATGAGAATGGTGCTTAAGTAATTAAAAACAGTTACCATTTGATAATATCATTCCTTCTTGCAAACCAGGATCATCTGGATTAGTTTTCCAATCAATTTCAGTTGGTCCTAGGTACAGAAAAATGACTATCAATTTTGGTATTCAAAATGACAATTATGTGCAAAATATCAATCATTATACTATCATATGAAGCAAAGTGGTAATTTTTAGGGATTTAAAATACGATATAAAATGTAATAGCACAAATATCGGAACAAGAAACATACATGTTAGAGGAAAAAGTTCAAATCTCTTATGCATAATTATTAGTAAAAATGCAAAGTATATAAGAGCATTGATAATTTTATATGCTAAACTAATTACAACTGAATAGCATTACAGATGTTAGGAAAAAGTTAACTTTTAATTCAGCTATTTACTGCAATTTTAAGTTGTAACACATTCTTAAAACAATGTTGTCATACTAAAAGCTTGTAGACAAAAGAAATCTGTTTCAAACACACAATTACAAATGAGAAATAGTTAAAATTAATTCAAAATAATTCTATATATGAATATAATTCAAAATAATATACAATATATGAATAAACATAATTTCTCTTTAAATGAACTAAATGGATTTCAAAAACTTTCTTCCTAAAATTGTATAATATAGAACAATTGCTAGTGCAACTCATCTTTTTCAAACAAATTAAAAGTTTCATATATTAAACAGCAAAAAATCACTAAAATAAATCTTACAAATATAATAATAAATATAATTTAGTTAACATTGCATAAAGCTGTACTATATGGAACAATAGCCATTGCAACATCTCTCTTAATAATAATTTAAAATATTGTAATTATAAGTTAAGTGATTTAACAGCTAAAAATAATTCAAATAAAATTTAAAAAATAAAAAAAAATGGTTGTGTCTTTAAATCAGATGGATTTGCATAATTTTCTTTGAAAAATTAAGAGGGAAGCAATAAATATAAATGAATAAATCATCACCAAAATATTAAATACATAATAACCAAAAATATTGAAGTATAGTTTTCAGCTTTTAGTAAGCCTCGATGCCAATCACATTTGATAGCTGAGACTTTTTATAGATCTGAAAACCAAATCCCCGCAAAAAAAATAACTTTTTTTAAGCCAGAAGGTACAAGAAAAAGAGATCGTCCACTGACTAGGTGGCTGGAAGCAGTTGAGAAGGACCTAAAGATAATAGGAATAACTAACTGGAAGGCCATGGCACAGAATAGATCAAGATGGCAAAAACTTATTGGGAAGGCCTTGGCCTGTCATAGGCTGTAGTGCCCAAGAAGAAGTAAGCCTCAAGACCAGAATTGTTTGAGTCGATTTACTCCATAATTCAAATTCCTGAACCCATTGTAAAAATTAGACAAATCTAATATAATAGCAAAATTTGCAAATGTCAGTAATCTGAACCAAGGCACTACAACTAACAAAACTACTGTGTTCAAACAAGATTATAAGTTTGAAAGATCGAGGTTGAAGGAAGAATATCATGAATCCGAAATCATGTAGAAAGGCAAAAGTGATCCAGAAAGGATGGTTTATGGAAAAGCTCTATTTTGGAGAGACCCGAAAGGAAATTTATTCTCCTCATTGATTGTCAACTGCAATTCATACAGTTAAAAGTACGTTCCTCTGCCCATGGCCATTGAATTTAATTTCAAAAGCATCATTAAAACACATCAATTCATTCATCACTCAAAAGCATAAACTATATACTGCAAAGGAATAAGTTTTGCAATAGATTCAGTAATGTTATAAGTCATTTTATATATATATAAATANCCAGTTTTGTGATATATATATATATATATATATAAAAGTGTGTGTGTTGAAGAAAACCTTTAGGAGAGACCATCAAATCCGGGCAAATCTCTGCACCAAATGTGGAAAAGGTCAAATAAGGAAACACAAAAAAATATCAAAACAAAAAATAATAACAAAACAAATAAGTAAATTAAAATATATTCAGAATATTTTAGCAAGGCTCTTATTTACAGAGCTCTTTCTGATGATCGCTGAAAAAGGTCTACAATATCATGTTGCAATCAGAGTGCACTAAGGACGATGCTCTTAATCATTCATTTTTTAAGTTGAAATTTAGAAAAAAAGTTATTTTAGAAAAAACTAAGCATCTCAAGAAAACAAACCTCTTCACATATTTTCAAGTTAACTAATCTTTATGATATAAATTTAAATGCAAACTTTAATAAAAAAAAATAATTGTGTAATTATTTAAAATAGTTTTGTCATTTATAAGTGGTAAATTTGTTTTTACACATTATTATATCAGTAGGGATCATTTTTATAGCTGCTAAATTTTATTTATATATTTTTGATTCAGTTGTCATGAGGGCAACACAAGTGACATTTCCACAGCAAGAAAATTACTGTAACAAAAATTAAAATTGTTTGCAATAAATCGCATACTTTCGATAACATTTTGGTCAATGGAGGTATCGCCTAAGAATGACCAACCTCCAGTAATGACCATTTTACTATAGAACAGAGAAAGGTCACTACCAAGAGGTTGCACTATACTTATTTTGATACTGATTATGTTAACCAACTTGATTTTTATATTTTACAACAAATAACACATTTCAAAAGACTATTATAAAATATTAAACAAACCTTCATGAACTGTGAGGTATGCTCCGACACCATGTCCAGTTTTGTGCATATAATTTAGTCCTACTTCCCATAATGATTTTCTAGCTAATGTATCAAGCATTTGACCTTTAAAAAATAGATATTCAATAAAGGTAAAATGTTCATTTCACTAAAATTTTTTATATAATATTTATATTCTAACTATAATGAGCATAAACTATACCTTTGATATGTTTAGGAAAAACTGCAGAAGATATAGCAATGTGTCCTTTTAATACCCTAGTGAAGCATTCCTGTAAGTTCAATTATGTTAAATTCGAAATATAAAAACAAATACATGAAAAAAGGGCTACAACAGGGAATAAAATTATATTAGCATATAAGTTAAAATACGAAAAATTATTAAATATTTCCTTTATTGTTATTATTTAAAGCAATATCAAAAATTCTATCCTCACTAACTATACTATCTACAGTAAAAAATCCATATAAATAATATAATGATAATATTTCATTAGGTTTTGATTGACTATTTAGTTCAAAATGTCCATATTTTTAGTTCATTCAGAAGTTTGAATGCTCAAAAAACTTACAGTCGAACCTTGATCCTCTTGTTTTATTGGTCTATTCACAAATGCTATTCTTAAGTTTAAAATAACTGTTTAGATCATTTTTTAAAACAAGTGAATTTTCTTGTTTTTCATTCTGAAATTCTGCCAGCAAAAAAACACCAAAATTTGGTGGTTGCTTGGAAAAGAAATATAGTATGTCTTGGTTCTAATGATGAGAGAGAAAATGAGAATTTGTTACAGGTTGGTTAAAACGCTGCAAACAGCACATTTTATGTTTATGCACCAATTGATGAAAATGTTGAAGCTTGTGGTGTTGTTGGTTCAAAAAATGGTTGTAAAAGTTGATTTTTTATGTTAAATTGCATTTATTGTTTTGATGAGTATTCTATGAGAAATAACTGATTGATATTTTTTTAAAATCATGTTTTGTTTTTATCTTTTTTTAAGTCGATAAAGACACCAGTCCCGCAATTTTTTACTCAAGTTATGAGGCATCGTGTTCCAGGACAATACAGGTAATTTATATTTTACTTTTTTTTTAAAAAATCAAATGTACAAAGGCTTATAAAGGCATTCCTTATTATTTATAGAGAATTAACTTTCAAAAGCTAGAAGTTTTTTATTTAAACCTCTTACAAATGTGTAAAATCAAAAACACTGTTGTTTTTTTTACAAGATGGAAATTAATGCTGTTGTTGGAAGAATAGCACCCTTGAATGATACAAGAAAAATGACATTTAAAATTAATAAAAAAAAAAGATATGGCATCCTAGTTGTTCGCTATAACAAACTCCCCGACTTTTTCATGTTTATTATAAAAAATACAGAATTCCCTCAATTTCAGGTCAATTTCCCTATACTTTCAAGTTATCATGGTAGTATAACATCCTGATAAAACAAAATTAACTGCTTCCCTTACCAATTTTTTTGAAGAAAAAAAATGTAAAAAAAAACAACCAATTTTTTTATTTCATTGATAAATATGAGGAACTAAAACGAAATCTAATACACAAGTTTTAAGTTGAAATTATTTTTTATGAATAAAAATCATTTAATTTACCATCAGTTTACTATCCAGTATACTTATTAATCAAAGGAAAAAGAAATAAAGTTACTTGCATATTAGTCTTTGTATGATGGTTTTTAAAACAAGGGACAACAAAAAGTGAAGTACCAGTGAAGTGATACGTCATTATTTTACGCTTTTTTCTATGTAAATTCAGCAACCATTGATTATAAAATAGCACAAAACACGTGTGCAGTCCCACAATCGAACAGCAAAACTCGCAAACAAAACTTGGCAAATTTCCAATGACAGCAGATTATAGTTATTTTTTGCTTTTGGCTGAGTAAAAACGTGATAAAACAAAACATACTGACAAATTCCACTCGCCTGAGTTATCTCGGGTTAATATATTTTTGCAATATATACATACCCAGGGTAACTCGGGATAATCAGGAAAGCGGTTAAGGGCAAAATATTTTTTTTAAGAATCTCTTTCATCTTTATCATTACATTTTGCATTATGTTCCTAAATTTCCGAGATGTTTCAACTAAAAAAAAATCAGAAAGATTTCAAAAGAATTTTTAAAATGATTTCATCAAAAATATCAAGAAAAAGGCAACTTGCACATTCATGTGTTAGTGATAGTTTAATATCTTAAGTCCTAGGGTCGTTTTATTTTTGAAGAACTTTATTTTGTTCAACAAAATTAAAATTTCCTTATGTATCAGGGTTCCCACTCTTTTCAACTAAGCAAAAATTAAGCACTTTTAAGGACTTTTTTTGAAAAAATTAAGGACTTTTTAAAAAAAATTAAGGACCTTAAAAATAGTATGATTGTTTATCATCGAATAAATATATACCACCAGTGACAGAGCTAATTATTTAACTTTCTTAAAAAAAATCAATAATAAAAAACAATTTTACTGATAAAATTGTTTTAATAATTGTTTCAGGGCTCGCCAAATAAGGAACCAGACAATTTCTGCAAACCCAGGTCAGGTTTTTTCTAAAACATTTTCAGATTGTTAAGGATTAACAACATCTATGAAACTTATCTGTATTCCCTTTTTAATAATTTTTTTGAAATTGAATTGTAAAATTAGGTGCAGAAATTAAAATGTGCAATTTTTTTCATATATTAAAAAAAGAAATTTTGGAAAAATATTGAAAAAATTATTAAAAGTTTTTATATTTCATTACTAAACATGCATAAAAATTCAGCTGTGAACCAATCTTGGTAAATATTCAGTTACACCAAAAAAATTCTTTTTCGCTATTAACAAAATGTTTCATTTATAAGGATATATAAAAAAAAATTTATACTAAGAAGTTGAATTAGAGTTATGTATGAGAGTAGTTTTCTTAACTATGTCATGTTAAATTAAGTCCTATTTCAAGTAAAAACGGGTCAACTAATATCTAAGAACCTTGAATCATTCCACTTTTTCTTCATTAGGCTTAACTTAATATATATATTTTTAAAATTCATTGCAATAAATACCTTTATAAAATTTTTATAGAATAAAAATACAATTGTGTTTGGGTCATTCTCAGAAAAAGGTGATTTTTAAAGTCCCTTAGTAATAAATATTAGGAAATACCGCAGATTTCTTTATATTTTTCTTCATCATTTTTCGTAAAGTTCTAACTAACAAATCATATGCATTTCTGCTAAATGTATTTAATATTTCATTCTTATTTTTTAATAAGCATAACTTCAAAATCCCCTCCGTGGACGTCCCTACGTCTGTGACACAAAATAATTTTTAATGGCTCTTAAACAATTTAAATGTTATTTTAATGATTTTTGTAGTTTTACCTAGTTAAATGTTTATCGTAACTTTTTATTTAATATTTTTTTTAAAAAAATTTATTTTTATAAAATAAATGACTAATAAACTTTATCCATCAAAAATGAAGTCTCCCTCCGTGGACAATTAATATAGTTCGGTAAATATGCAATAAAGGGCAGCATATGCGAAATCCCTATAAGACAGCTGCTGGGAAAGGTAACCATTCCATTTTCTAATGTTAACTATCAGTTGTTTTTGTTCTCTTTGGTGTCAGTTTTGGATTGTTGTGTTCAACTGGGGTTTGGCAAAGTTATCACCGTATACTCCGTGGACATCATAAAGAAGGTAAGAGAAAATTATTTTATTTTTGATAGATGAATTTTAGATTGCAAAAATAGTATATTTAATAAAAAGAACTGCCCCATTTTTGTAACTTCAAAATTAAAAATCAGTAAAATTCAAGAACTAGTTTTTGTCTCCTCCGTGGACGTCCACGGAGGTGAAGACACAGTCAATGGAAGAGACAATGTGTTAGATAATCATAATACATATTTAATAATTAAAAAACTATTTTCTTTTAATTGATATTTTTTTAAATGCAACAAATGTGTTAATTTGCTTGTATTTTTAGAGAAAATCAATTAAGTTTAACTTTTTCTTATCGGAGAAGTAAATATTGGCAGTTTTTCTAAATAATTTCTGTGATGTTTAACATTTTTTTTCTCTTCAAATTTTAGAAAAAAAAATGGCAAAACCAAAATGTTAAAAAAGAAAGCAATCAAATGTTCAAATGCAAAAGAGAAGGGAACAGAAAAAACTTAGTATGAGACAAGCTAGACAGAAATTAAAAGAAAACCATATATTGTTTGAAGAAAGTAAAAAAAAAAAAAGAGCAAATCAATCGTTTAATAATAAATTTCAGACGATTCAAGATAATAAATAATTATGTGTTGATATAAAATTGTGTACTAATTTATTAATATAGGTATAGTTATATCGACCCTTAAGATTTTGTAAAAAGTAAAATTACAAATTGAAAAAATAAAGCTGGAAATTATATTTTTCTTGAGTCACAAGGGAGTCAATTATTACTGCCTAGTTTAGCACACTAATCTATTGAGAACATACATTAACATTTCATTTTTTTTTTATTAAAAATTACTAATACGTGATTTATAGCAAAAATAATCAGCAACATATTCTCATCCAGTTTGGCTGATGTTGTAATGCCTATATATATATATATATATGTAACATAAAAAGCTTCATTTAATCTTTTTATGTTATATATATATATACCAAAAATCGTCAATAGAACAACTGCCACCTATATAGTAACTAATTCAAGAAAAAAACTTACTTCTTAGAATAATTGTGATAAAGGATTTTGAAATCGCGAGAATACAAATTGCGATCTTTGATTTTGAAATCACGTGACTACGAAACTCAATATTGGATTTCAAAAATGTGAAAATATAAATCATGTTGCCTAATTTTTAGATCGCGTAAATACGAATCACGATGCATAATTTTTAATTAACTGAATACGCACCCAAAGCCTAATTTTTAAATCACGTGTAAATACGAAAAGTGATGTTTGATATTACAACCGCATAAAGGAATCACGACATTGGATTTTAAACTCACGTGAATACGAATCACTACATAGAAATTTAAAAACGCTTAAATACAAACAGCGATGTTGGATTTTTAAACCTCGTAAATAAGCAATGTACGCTTTTGAAATTGCATGAATAAGAATCGAAATGCACAACTTTTAAATCAGGTGAATAAGAAAATCGATGTTTGATATTAAAATGCAGTGACGTCTGACTTACGAAAATATGAGATATCTGGTAAAAATGAGGAAAATCTTATTTTTTGCTCGTAGAAGTGGAGAAAATAGCTAAAATTATTAAAAATGCGGAAGCTACGTAGTTTGAATTTTCTGTTTATTTTTGAAAATTGAAAAGAAATATAATTATTTCATTTTAACGGTTGAATTTTCAGAAAAAGGGGAACATTTATATGAAAAAAAAGAAGAAAAAAACTTAGATAATCGGAGTTTTTGATAAAAAGGCTGAAATTCAGGAGACAAAAGCAAAAAAGGCGGAAATCCGCTAAAAAGCGGAAAAATCTCATCCCTGATAATGCTAAACAATTTGACGAAAAACATTTACTAATTTTAAAGCAATCAAAAGTTGAATAGAAGCTTTAAAAGAATAAATAATAATTAAAAAAAGAAACAGTATATTAAGTTGCAGTGTTACCTGCAATAACGTAACAATCAATAATGTTATAAACAATAACGTAACAATCTAAAACTTAAAAAAAAAATTTACATCACAGCAAAACAAGTTATAAATAATTATCAAATATTTAACTTTTTTGTTAGGAGTAAATCATGCATTATTTAGTACTCAGAAATAAAAATTTAAAATAATTTTGAAGAAACTCAATAAATATCAGGTTTTTGAAGTAAAACCTAGGTGGGATGGGAATTTTCAAACCCTGTTTATTACAAAGCTGTTTAATTTTTAGTACAATCATGAATTTTGAAAAACGTTGCTGCTTTTTATAAATTTACTGTTACTTATTACACACTGAAATATTATACAAATTTATTTAATTCTTCCAAGATTTTCGGAAATCGTTTTTGTTATGGATTCTAGTTCAAAATTTTTTTTCTGATACTTCTTTTCTTAGGGTTTTACTTTATTCCTATTACCAGATGCATTACCAGTAGAACTGAATTTCTTAAATTATGTCAATTTTGAAAGTCTCCTACTTAAGTACTTTTGAACTGCCCCCCCCCCAAAGCACTTTCTCTTCCATCTGCAGTATTCTCCTTGTCCACATTCTATTCTTTTCGTTTAGAATGTTTAGAAATTGCTCCTATCAACTATAGTGATGCTGAAAAATTAAGCACTTTTAAGAACCTTGTACCAAAACTAAGTACTTTCAAGGGCCCTTATTTTCCAGAATAAAAGTTAAGCAGTTTTTAAGGACCTTGGGAACCCTGTATATTAACCGCATCCCTGATTATCCGAGTTAACTCGGGTACGTATATACTGCAAGTAAATTATCATCCGAGAGCAGAATTTGTCAGTACATTTTGTTTTATCCCAATTGTACAAAGTCGGAAGCGAAAAAACATAACCTGCTAATTGGAAGATTGCCAAGTTTTATGTGAGAGTTTTGCTGTTGGATTGTGAGACTGCACACATGTTTTGTGTGATTGTATATACGATGGTTGCTGAATTTACATAGCAATAAGAGTAAAAAAAAAAATCAAAATAATGGCTTATTCCTTCACAGACTTTTGAAAAGTATCACTTTGTGTTGCATGTTTTAAGAACTATTCTACAAAGACTAATATTTAACTTTTTTCATTTGCCTCGGATAACTTGGGATAGTAAACTGATGGCAAATTAAATGTTTCTTATGCATTAAAAAATAAAATTTTCAACTAAAAACTTGTGCATTATGTTTTGTTCCTTGTATTTATTAATGGAATAAAAAAATATGTTGATTTTCTGAATTTTTAAAAAAAAAAAATAACTGCTAAGGGAAGCGGTTAAAACGCAATATATCAATTAGAATAATATAGTTAGATTAACAATTGAACAAATGAGGAATTTTACATACCTTTTCATATTGTGATGGGGTTCCAAAAAAATAAGTTCTGGCCACATCTGTTGTGCCATCACTAACAAAAAAATTTGGAATCAAATAAAATCAAATGGAATAAAAAAAAATTGCATAATTAAATAAAAAAGGAAAAAAAAATTACATACATGTACTGACCACCAGAATCACACATATAAAATTCATCAATTGATATGATTTTTGTAGTCTCTTCAGTTGGATGATAATGAACAAGAGCAGCATTTGGTCCTGAGGCTGAAATTACTTCAAAACTTGGACCCACATAATCTTCTTGTTGTCTAGTGATATTGAAAGACAAAATAAAACATTAAGGCACAGTATTTTCATTTTATTATTCTTAAAATTTGATGAAAGAGACAAATCAACAATTAAGAAACTACTAAACTTTACTCTAGAAGATATTTTGCTGTATTTACTGAAAATAGAAAATTGTATAACCCCTGAATACATTACCATAAAAATTTTATAATCTAAAACTGCTAATTAAATTTCTTTTTTAAAAAATTAATCAGTTCCTAAAAAATTTGATACACAGTATCTTGCAAGTAAGGATATGTACCTGAACCATGCACAATGCGCCAAAAAAAAGGACAACCCTGAATAACTTTTGATCTAATTATTAGATTTTCACATTCTAGGACTCAAACTTAATTGTTTGAGGGGGTGACCAATTATTGATATATTATTGACCTATGCTAATTGATTGGTCGTATATTTAAAATTCGATTTCTCAGGAACTATTACTATCATGCAAAGTTAAGATACTTTAAAATTATGCAAAAATTTATGTACCTTTCAATTCAAAAGTTTTATTACTGTTATTAAATAAAAGTAAAAAAAAAATAGTAAATATTTACTAAAAAGTATTTTTTTGCATGGAATGATCTTTGGAAAATCAAATGTTATAATTGTTTGCAAAGATTTTGCAATTCGTTTAAAAAGTTCTTGAAATATATCGAAGTAGGCTAAAAGTAAAATTAACATTAGGGAGCCTGAACTTGTCTCCTGACCAATTAATTAGCATATTTGAGGTTACCCCCTCGAGCCATTAAGACTGAATCCTAGAACGAGAAGATCTGATCATTAGTTTAAAAGTTATTCAGGGTGGTCCTTTTATTCGGCACACTGAATAGTCAAACCTCCAAACAATGTTCCCACGGGAGACTGTGCCTCTGCGACTGAAGTTAAAAGGTAGCAGCTATTCAGATTTACAAATGAATTGGTTGTTAAAAAAGATTTTTTTTAAAAAACCACGAGTATATAGTTAACTTACTTACAAATTATCATTATTATAATTTACTATAATAATGATAATAATTTGTGATATCATTAATTTAAGATTTTTTACAGCTATACCATGAAGCTAATTTTTGTTTCCTTATTCCATTTTTACTACCTCTAATAACTTTTATGTTATTTGTCAATGTAAGGAATTTTTGCTTGTGATACTCACTATATTTCGATTATGCATTCAGATGTACACTATTCCAATGACTAGAACTTGAAGGGAAAAAAAACAATTAACAAATACTGATATCACTATCAGTTGCATGCACATATTATTTCTATGAGGGATTAAACTACAAATGCGCCGGATCACGCTATTGGTCGAAAATGACATCACTATATATGGACAGGGACATGGTATTGGATAGTATTTTGGCGACAGATTTTAGATTTAGTTTTCAAACGTGCTATGTATACAAGAGTTATTAATGCTTCTTGTTTTTACTTATCAACTTGCTATTTTTTATGTTTAATTATGAATCAGGTGATTTGCGAAAAAATATTTAAACAAAATAAAAATTTATCCGAGCATATAAGCAGATGTAAAAGCTAGAGGTTTGAAATGTCCTGTGAATGGTTGTGAAGTGTGTTTCACAGCTCGAATATTATTAAGAAGGCACTTATCAAAATGTCATAACATCAAAAAAGTGGTAGAAAAAGAGGAGCACCAATTTGATTCCATTACGAGTAAGTTTATAAATTGTATAAAATTCCAATTTACATGTTGCTATTGTTATGTTATGTAGCAATTGTTATTATTTACATTACAATGTGAAAACAGTAATTTCTATTACAATAGTTGTTAGTCGATTACTATATCACGGTATTAAAAATTAAGAGTTGCAAATCTGTTGTGTATGGATCAGCTATTTAACAACAATAATAAGTTACATGCTGCGAAAGGTAACGGTGATTCTCATTAACTTATAGAATAGCTATAAAGATTCGATTAAGATTGAAGTGACAAGTTTTAAAAAACATCTATTAAGTGTCAGTCATATAAAGCTTTATTTTCCCTATTTTAGTTAGTCTCAGTTTTCAGTTAGTCTTTTAGTACATTTGCTTGTTTAAATAAATTTTATCATGGTTATAACTGCTCCTGAATTAATGTGTTTACATTTCCATTTTGAATTCATTGAATATGTAATATTGCAGTAGTATTTGAATAAACTGTGAAGATTAAATTATGTTATTTTATTTTACACAGGTTTTTTACAATGGAAAGAGGCGATTGAGGTTCAACTCAGGTCATCTTACTATTCCAGTGCCTCAATTTATTCGGCAAATGGTAGAGAAAAGCATTATTTCCTGGTAATTGTTCGGGCACTTTTACGTCAACAGCTTCTAGAGTCCAGAGCATCCAAATCATAAAGGAACTTGATAAGCGAGAAATGCTGCCCATCAATAAATGAAGTCATTCAGAATGTCTATGTCACTTTTAATAAAGCTCAATTTGGCCATGATAATGAACTGAAATATCTTCCTTTCAGTTCATTAGCAATGAATGAATTAGCAAGTGAGTGTTACTCATGTCCATAATTTATATTTTGAATTAATGATAATTAGGCTGTGTGTAAAGTGTTAACTAAGAATGAGTAATTTACATTTTATTCATAAAATGCAGTTTATAATATTTTCAGTAAGTGCAAAATTTAAAAAAAAAAAAACTTAACAGTAAGCAATTGCAACGTTCATTTATACTATGTCCGTAATCTCCATCCCTGTGTTGATGCATAGGAATGTATGTACTACATCCTTTGTATCCTTTTCAAAATCCTTTTAAGATTATCAAAAATGCCTTTTAGAATTTTCACAATGCTTGCTTTAACAAGAATAGTTTCTAAATTTTTATCAGATTTTCAAAGAATTGAACTTAAGCAATATAATTAACAGTTATTGGAAAAAAATCTTATTTATATTCACACAGATCTAATTATCATAGAAGAAAGCGTGTAATTTATCACTAGCCTATTTTTGAGTTGTTAAGAACAAAGTACTCCTATTTCATTTTGATAAATAATTTTTTATGTAGCGATCTAGTTTAATACTATCTTTTAAAAAATTTAAAATTCAATCTGAATTAAAATAATTTAATTTTTAATTGAATATTTTTATTTAAATTTTATCTAAAAAAAACCTGAGCCCCATTATAAATTGAAGTATTTCAAGTTTTTAAAAATAAAGTTAAATATTAATTCTATATACAGTTAAACTTTATAGTAAACTCCTGGATATAGTGAACGAAATGTTCGGCCCCATGCCTTGCTGTACACGTATATTGTTTTTTTGTGGATATAGAAAATTAAAAAAGTGAGGAAGTTGGATATTATGAACTTTTTTCTGTCTTTGACTGATTTTTTTTCTTAATTTCTTTTAAAATGTCTACTTTAAATTTAATACTTGTACAGATTTTTAAAACCATCTATAGAGTGGAATGTAGCGATAAGTATTTTCTCTTGTTTGCTTCTTTATCACACTTTTCCATCCCTGAACAGAGGCCTACTCAGGCAGATGTATGTACAAATTTTTCCCTGCATCAGCTAAAGATTACAAAATTTTTTTTTTTGTAAACAAGAGGAAGAGTAATAAAAAATAAAAGCAAGTTAATACATTTTTCTTTACTACATATTATTTCTCAGTCATTTTTGTATTTCATTTTATTGGTCATTTATTCAAATAATGTATAATAAAAAGGAGTTCGGAACAATTAGTTAAAATTGTTCGGGGGGCCGGATATAGTGAACTCCCGGTTATAGTGAACCAAAATTTCGGTCCCTTGAAGGTTCTTTATGGGTTTGACTGTAATATCATTATAGTTCTGTAATATCATTCTGAGTGAAGTGGGCAGTTATTGCCATATAACAGTTCGACATTTTTATCATACAAACCACTGTGATGCCACAATTGGCATTACATATTTCCTAGCTTTTAAAATTCCTTTAATTACTTAAACTTACTTTTTTTAATAATTATCTTTATAAAAGCAAACATAAAATATTTTATGTTCGCTCTTATAAATGCTGGAATCACAACCATCATCTATGATTTTGTTTCCTTCGATCGATTAAAATTTAAAAGTAAATTCTAAAAAAATTATTTTTGTAGTTTTTCACCAGAACTTTTCTAAAAACATTTTTGTGAAAATCTGTGACATGACAGCATTTAAATTTAGTCAATTTCACTTGGAATGAGTCTACTTTGTTTTAGATTAAATATCAATTTCATGATTTTACTATTCTCATATTTATCTTTGTTTTCTAAGCATATTTAAAAGAGCCTTTGAAATCAACTAATTAATTAGTTAATAGTTTATTCATAAAATATTATCATAAATTATTTTGTATTATTAAGAAATGAAGCTAATTTTAGGCCCCCGCGTCTTCGAGGGTTCCAATTGAATAAACCACACTTCTGGATTAGCGCGCCAAAACGGGGGTGCTTTAAAAGCAACGCGAGCAACATCTGCCACGCTTTCAGAAGCAGTAATTTCGTCTGGCATTTTGTTTATATTAGCGAGTCAGAGAGCAAAAAGTAAAAGGCATGCACAATAAATCACAAATTGAAAATTTCAAACGAAGCATATCAAACACAAGTTAATAAATGCATTTTGAGAAAGAATGCAAAATGCAGTTGAAGAATACTTCATTTTAAGTTAAAATTATAGTAAGTGATAAAGTTGAAACTAATTAATTGTATTTCTTATACTCTAATTAAAAATTCATTGCTTTTTACAAATTGTAATTGAAATTAAGATTAAAGTAACAAAGTTTACGAAATTGAAAAGTAGTTATTAAATGTCAAATATAATGACAGAATATTTTAAAAAGTTCAATTAACTTTATAGAAATATTAAAAAATTTACATTATTTTAAGCATTTATAAATTTAAATTTCATCTAATATTTGAAATAAATGACCACATTTATGTCTTAGAATAAGTTTACTAAACGCCAGTTGACACCACCATGAAAGAAACACATTCTATTTGCAGA